ACACATAACTGAGAGTGCGCCTTTTAGTACGGTGCGCCTTATGGTCGTGAAAATATGTTATTCTTATACATTTTTCTAAGGTCCACATTTGTGTGACCATTTTCAATAATCTTTCTGCTGCTGTAAATTTGCCCATTGTGGAACAGTAAAGGGATTTTCTATTCTATACAAGGGGTAGAAAGATATAAGTATATCTAAAAAATGTATGTATAAAAAATATATCGACAAAATATCTTATATTCAACAAAAAATACTTAGTTAAGCATATTGAGCAAAACAGCAATAAAAAAATTAAACTCCTATCAGATTTATAGTCCCCACACTGCAGATATATTAGAATCTGTCCTTAAATTACAGCCAAACCCATTTACACAGTAACAGATTAAAACCTTTAGATAAATCAAACATTACCGCCACATATCTGACTCAATAACCATTAAAACAACTATTTTCATTCATTTCAGACAGAACTATTCACAGACTGGATTATATTAAACTTCCAATTTTCAACACTGTTCGGTGCCAAGTAACCTTTCCTCTGATCACGGAGCAAATCACGGCTTGCTTGGTCTCGCAATGAATCCTGGGATATCCAAGGATGCCGAGGATACATCAGACACATCCTTCAAATCGGGCAAAAAGAAGGACGCATTTTAAGGTCGCATAACGAGGACTCTTGGAATGCGAGCAGACATCGGCGCCGCACTATGACGTAATCGTCCTTCGAATCTGTCCTTCAAGTCTGGCCTTCTAAGGACGCGTCCCAGGATTTCGAACAGAGCATATATATAGCTGACTGAAACAAAGGGAGGGCTAACGAGCTGATTAGGAACAGGTGTAAGTGGAGGCGACGAGGAAGCCAAGGGTAAAGAAGACACACAAAAGAGGGCAACAGGGGACAGACAGAAAAACCTAAGCAACTTAAATGAATCCAGACACACCAAAAAAAACTAGAAAACAATGAAAAACCTGGCTACACTTGAAACAGAAAACTTAAAGAAAAACAACAGAACCAAGATCGTTACAGAGCCCCCCACTTAAGGGCGGATTGACGGTTCCAATCCAACTCTTTGAACAGTTCTGATAAAACTGGGGGTGAAAGAAGTGAGGAGTTAGAGAGGAAGATTGGCTTTAATTGGTCAGCTGCACTCACCCTCTTCCAAGGTGGACTGAGAGTTGATATGGAGTCCAGAGCATTCACTAGAGTGAGAGAGATTCTCCTCAGAGCGTCCGTGCCGAGTTCTGCTGGGTCCATGTTTGGCTGGTTCCTTCTGTCAT